CAAGAGGGGAAGACCCTCTATGAGGTGGATTGATTCAGTGACTGGGGTAATCGGGATGGGTGTGTCAGAGGCAGTACAATTGTCACAGCATAGAGCAGGGTTTAGGGTCGCTATGAGTCGCAAACGACTCAACGGCACATAACAACAACAACAACTTAGCCAGGTGAGGAAAACAAGTGACAGTGGCCTAAGGATATAATTGTGAACAATAGACCTACAACACTGCACATACTTACTCATTGTGTAACTTTGAAAAGACCATGGATTGGACCAGCTGCATCTTCACTTTTAAACTGACATCATTGCTCTTTAGAACTTTGACAGCTTATTTTCCCAATGCAGTACGTCCTTGAGAGTATTACTGTATCATAAAAAAGAAATGAAACCCTGATACATACAACATTGATAAATGTTCAAGTCATTATACTGAGTGAAATGAATATATTTAAAAATAACAAATATATGATACCACTTATATAAAATATACAGAGAAATGTATAGAGGCTGAAGTTTATCAGTAGTTATCAGAGATAGAAGGGAGAAAGTGTGAGGGACTCATTGTTGAAGGAGAACTGTGCTTCTTCTGTTAAGGGTGTTGGAAAAATTTGGAAATGAAACGTGGTTATGGTTGTGCAACATGGCAAATATATTATCATTGTGGTGCACCTGTGAAAAAATACTGAAATAGCAAACAAAACAAAGACTCTCACCACTGGGCCGATTGGCGGCATCATGATAGATGGTGAGGAGACTGAGATTGTTGACAGTGTCAGTTTCCTTGGCTCTACAATCAACAATCTTGGTACCAGCAGCCAAGAGATTAAAAGATGAATTGCACTGGGAAAGTCTGCTGTCAGAGACCTCTCCAAAGTACTGAAGAGCAATGAAGTCAGTCTGGAGACTAAGGTGTGCCTGACACAGGCCATAGTCTTTGCAATTACTTGCTATGCATCAGAGACCTAGACAATGACTAGGAATGGTAGAAGGAGAACTGATGCCTTTGGGTTGTGGTGCTGGAGAAGAGTGTTGACTATACCATGGACTGCTAGGAGAACAAACAAGTTCTTCCTGGAGAGGGTGAAGCCAGGCTGCTTCTTGGAGGCAAGGATTCTGAAGCTTCGTCTGACATACTTTGGACATGTTGCAAGGCAAGATCAGTCCCTGGAGAGGGATGTTATGCTTGGGGGGGTTAGTGGGACAGTGTAGGAGAGGGAGACCCTTGATGAGATGGATTGATTCCGTCACTGGGGCAATGGGGATAGGTGTGTCACAGTCAATAAGACTGGCAAGTGGTAGAGCATGGTTTAGGACTATTGTACATAGGGTCACTATGATTCTCAGGTGACTTGACGGTACATAACAACAACAACAACAACATATTTGTTGTTGGGTGCCATTGAGTTGGAACCAACCCATAGCTGACACTCCAGAGGCAATTAATTGCACAGGAGGAGATGGCTCCCCCTTCTCCCATGGAGCAGCTGGGGGCCTCGAACTGTGTGCCTGTGCTTGTGTGAGTTTGCAGTGCAGCTTCTTGCTCCTAGGCCACCAGAGCTGCTTCTGTATACTAAGCACAATGAAAAACTGTGTCTGAGAGTGTATAAAATATGTTATTTTTATTAAGTGTTACTGAAGATGATTTCTGTCCAAAAGAATCTAAGCTGCGTCCCTCCTCGGCAGGTTTGGACGGAAGTTGATGATCAGGTTGTGTTCGCTCCAGCTGGCTGTCTTTGGGACCTGTGCTGCCTTTGCTCCCACCTTCCCCATTTACTGCTCTTTGCTCTTCTTGTCAGGCTCTTCTTCCACCGGTACGCTAATTAACTGTGGCTTACTCAGTAAGTAAACCTTTTTTTTTCCTTTCCACCTCATCTGTGAGCAGAAGCAGGTTATGACTTAAATCAATGATTAAGTTCATAAAACACAATGTACATGAGTGACCGTTTGGAACACATTGGGAATGAGAATGTGATGTGCATGAATGATACACATGTATACACATTTTGCATGCAAACCAGTGTACATGCAAAATTAAGTGAAGACGTAGGAACAATGATTTTATAAATTACTACCTCGGAGGGACTGGAGAGCATTATGCTGAGTGAACTGACCCAGTCTCATAAGGACAAATACTCTATTTTTGTATTTTGTATTATTGTAGAATGAGTGTGAAAATCCAAGGAGGGGGTAGGGTGGAAGCAGAGGGGTGAGGATGGGCGACGTGTGGGTGTTTAATCATAGGGTCACACTATTTGATAGGTGGGGGTGTGTGTGAAGGAAATGGGAAAGATCCAGTGTGAAAAACAATGTATTTGAACTTTGTAAATAAATCAATATAAAATAAAAAATGAAAAAAAACTAAGAAAAAGTACCTTTAATTTGACATTTAAGCTCATGTTTGAGTTTCATTTCAGTGACAGAGTGGACAGTAACAAAATTCAAAGCTGTGACATTAACACTGGTCAACTGTGCGGCTAGTTGTGCGCAGATACTGCTGGGAGGCTTGGGTTTGGGAATTCAAAATTGGCGCACCCTCCAGCTGGCGGTATCCATGCCATTCTTTGTCTTCTTTCTGTTCTCAAGGTAGGAGAGTGTTCTCTTTTTTATTGTTATAAATTATATATTACATTTGCCAATGTAGTAGTTTTATAGGTACAGTTCGGTGACACTGGTTATGCTCACCAAGTTGTGTATCTATTGCAAAGTTTCATCTCCAAGGACTCTGTCAGGAGAGACGACATAAGGTTTAGCACACGTGGTTTTTGTTTGATTCATACCTGGATCTAAACTCACTCCCATCTGTGCTTCCACATTTTCAGTGGAGGAGAAGAGTAGCAATGATCTATGTCAAGGACATTGGGGTTGTGCTACATTTTGGAAGTAAAATTCCAATGAAAGTAATAGTTCCTATGGAACTATTTTTTAAAAAAAATTTT